TGAGGAACCCCGCAAAGCTGAGATTTGCTGAGATCTGAGGGGGTGGGGAGTAGAGGCAGAGGGCTTTAGGTGGGGTTGAGGTCCACACCTTCCTTCCCCACACACACACACACACACACGGAGTGGGGCGCAGACCCTGGGGCCTTCTTTCCAAAGCGGAAATGCCATTCTAGGAGGCATGGACTTGGGGGGTGGGGAGTTTAAGTGGAAAAGGAGCACATTTTTGAGATGCCTTTGCCTGAGACTGTTTCCCCTCCCCCGCTTGCCTGCCCACAGCAGCAGTCCCACAGCCAGCGCCACTTTACTCTGAGCCCCCTCCCTGGACAGCTAGGACCTGCGTCCCATCCCTGCAGAAACCTCGGCCTGGAGCCTTGCTGGGCTACCCTCTGTCCAGGCAAATGCCCATGGGTGGTCCAGCTGGTTCAGGTTCTCCTTCAGAACCTGGGGAGCCAGCTAGGGACCAGAATCATGGTTAGGGGGACCCGGGCCCCAAGTTTTCCTGCCTGCCTGGGTGGTGTGTCCTGGTGAGCAGGCTCCTCTTCCCTGGGGATGTGGTCTGTTTTCAAGGTAACCAGTTTGGGGGAGGGCGTAGAGGGATCCCATTGCCTGCCCCTGCCCCACCTCCATGCTGAGTGCTGAGGGAAGGCAGCTATCTAGGAAACCCCTGCCCAATTTTTCTGTAGAGGTCTAATTCGGGAAATCACCTGCCTTAACTAGCCCTCCAGGGACCCATGGCCAGACTTCATTTCACAGCCAAGAAGGAGCCCAGAGGGAAAAGCCCTGCAGCGAGGGGACCCCTGGGCCCAGGGGCTGTCAGGTGGGCTGAGGGGACCTGAGGGCCAAGCTTGGGCTGGCATGCATTTGCTAGACCATGCCCAAGAGTTGGTTCCCAGGGGGGGCCCACGTGCTGCCCACGAGTGGCCCCAGTGTTGACTGATGGAGGATAGAAGGGTCTGGTAATAGAACTGTCTGTCCTGTTCTGGGGCAAAAACCGGAGTCAGGGAAAGGTGAGAGGTGGTGAGCGACCCCTATTTCGGGGTGGGGTGGGCTAGGGTGGATTTGGCGGTGGGCAGCGGCAAAGGGGGACTCCCTGGAGGAAAGCGCGCCCAGCTGGCAGCCTCTGCGTTTTTCTAGGTCGGCTTGCTGGAGTCCTTGCGTCTCCTTCGTGTTTTTCTGCTGGGTTAGGCGCGCCTCCTCCCTCTGCCTCTCGATCGGACGGACCGCCCCTGGACACGCACAACGGGGTGTGAATGAGCTCCCTGGGATTGGTGGGCCCGCACCTCTGCCGCTGGGGGAGGAGGCAGTGTAAACTGACTTCCCAAATGCGGAGGTTGAGGTCTCACGCGCTGGCGGGCGATGGAGGCCGGGCGCACCTAGCATGAGCTGTGCCCCAGGCTAAGCCCAGCTCCTGGCGGGCAGGCTGCGGTCCCACTAGGCCGGCGCGTGTCTTCGCGCCTGCGCCCACCCGCGTCCCCTGACGGCGGCTCATTTGCATGGGAAGCCCCGGCGACCAATGGGCGCGCGTGGCCAGGCATGCCGGGAGCGCGGCTGGGCAGCAGCAGCTGGCGGGCGTAGAGAGGTGGGACCGGCTCTGGGCGGCGGCGGAGGAGGCGACTGGCGTGGTGGGCGAGGCAGCTGGGCCAGGCCGGC